ATTTGTTGTTTACAATTCTGCATAATACTCTTCCGGTTGCTACACAAATGCTTCAGTGATCCAGTAGGTATGGTTGTAGCATAGAGGTAACTCTAAGACCACTGGGTCCCGAAGAAAATCATTATTATTTTTGGCTCACTCAGTACCAGAACAACGGTCCCAAGCAGTCCCAAGCTATTTCACTCACCCCTGCATGTTCTGCATGAATCCACACACCCCTGATGTTATCTGTCAAACTTTCATAGCGAATCAAAACAAACATAGTGTAGTAATAGAATTTCAACTAGAATAGGGTACGTTAATCGTTTGCTTGGGACCAATAGGCTACTAAAGTGGTGAGCCAATTTAAAATCGTTAGTTTCGTATTGATTGTTGGTTGTAGCCTGTAAACCAGTGACTGTCGGTTTGAATACCGACATGCAAAGTCCAATTTGTCAGCAACAAAGTAAAGCAATCCTAGAACAATTATAATATATAAAAGCTTAAAATTGATATTACTATTAAGCTTTCAGCGGATTAAAATCACCAGATTTAGATGTTTAAAAGCTGAAAAAAGGTCAACAATTATTCAAACTAATACTCCGTTTACATTACAGCGTATATCACTTGATATACGCTGTCTTGCAATGAGCACTCATACATCTAGTTTTTACTGGAAATCCTATATACGAGTGCTCATTGCAAGAAGCCTATATTACGTGATGTGAACGGGGTATAAGGCTGTAATGTGAACGGGGTATAAGGCTGAACTAAAAACGTTCAAAAAACACTTGTTAAGCATCAAACTGTTACCCGGGTCGTCATCTAGAAGATTCGGAACATCCATAAAAGTGGTTCATTAAACTGATCCGCGTGCTACAAGTGTTTTCGTAACCTCTGATAAGGGGCTTTTCATAAACTACGTACACCGATTTTTAGAAGTTTTAGACCCCCCTTCCCCCACGCAGACAATCGAGTTTATGAACAGCCTCTAAATACCTTATCAGAATGAATTCGGAGTTGTTATATGGACACTGGGGGCTACGGAATGGTCCACTAGAAGATCCGGAACATCCGTAAAAGTAGTCAATGCATGAAACTGATCCCAAAGCTCCTCGTATTTTTCGAAACTACTCATAGCGTCTTATCAAAATTAATATGAAGTTACGACCGGAATTCGGTCACTGTAAACCACGAGGTGGTCCAATAAAACATCCGAAATATCCGTAGAAGTGGTCAATAAATGAAACTGATCCTAGATATCCGTGTTTTTTTTTAATTCATTTAAAGACGCCATATTCGAATGAACTCCGAGTTGTGACCGGTTTATCTTGAGAACCACGGAATGGTTCACCGGATGATCCGGAACGTTTGTTAAAGTGGTGAATTCTTGAAACTGATCCTAGAACTCCACTTTTTTTTCAAAACAACTGATTGACGTCTTATCAATATGAATTCGGAGTTGTGTTAGGAAAATTGACCCTTGTATTAATAGTAATACGGAAGGGCCCTCCAGAGGATCCAAATCATCCCTAAAAGAGGTAAATTCATGAAACTGATCATAGAGCTCTTCCGATTTTTCGAAATTACTCATGATGACTCATCACAATCAGGGTTACTTCCACTCACTTGCTATAAAGAATGTTTTTCGGAATTATGGAATCATTAAATAGTATAATGCTAATTAGTACTTGTAAACTACAAGAAGAGGTCATGAAGTATATGTTTGAAACATAAAATCTGTCAATATTGCTTTTAGTGCGTCACAATCAGTGATTTTACGACTCGTGAGCGCTCACTCTGAGTGAACGCTCACGAATCATAAGATCGCTGATTGTGACGCTCTGAAAGCGAAATTGACAGGTTTTATGAGTCAAACACATACTTTACACCCTCTTCTTGTTACTTACTAGTACAACATATCATTATAACATCTAATGATTGCATAATTCCGAAAAATACTTTTTTATAGCAAGTGAGTGGAAGCAACCCTGATCACAATAAAATGGGAGTTGGTCGATCAGGAAGATCTGGAACATTCATAAGTGTTCAGTTCTTGAAACTGAGCCTAGAGGTGCGTTTTTTCAAAACCACTAATTGGCGTCTTATCAGCATGCATTTGGAGTTATGACCAGAGCATGGACCCTAGAGACCAGTGGATGGTCTTCCAAACGATCCGATACATCAGTAAAAGTGGTCAATTTGTGAAACTGATCCTAGAACTCCGTGTTTTTTTTCGAAAACTTTCATAGACGTGTTATAAATATGAATTCGGAGTTGTGATTGTAAAATAATCCCGAGGTCCATTGAATGGTCCTCCAGAATATCCGGAACATCCATTAATTCATTTATTATTCTCTGGCAGCAATGGATAACGGAAACCATGTAGATGTTTTGTACTCAGACTTCAGCAAAGCATTTGATCCCGTCGAAATAATCATGCTTCTTTTTAAATTGCAAAAGATGGGATTTCAGTCCAAACTCCTCAAATGGCTGGAATCATATCTGACCAATCACGATCAAAAAGTATTATTCAAAGGAAACGAATCAACCCCTATTCATGTCACATCGGGAGTCCCACAAGGCTCTCATTTAGGACCTCTTCTATTCATTCTATTTGTTTTCTTAAAGTTTTAAGTTGCCCAAAAAAGTATCATATCATCAGCATAAACATGATATGAAACTTTTTGTTTAGATATTAAAAATGCCGAAGACATCAACACATTCAAAACTGAAATACCGATATTCCCTAGGGGTATTCACTAGACTGATGCAAAATTAGAAATTTTCGCTCCACAGTGCTCAAACGGTTTCAAACTGGGCCCTGATTAGCCTCCCAAAATTTGAACTCATTTAGTGAGAAACTGACTTGGCACAAACCATTTGAAGTTTATAAGGGAATTACTATGGAGAAATCATAATTTCGGTTCATATCTATCTCAAAATTCACCAGTTCACTATACTTTAGAAAATGATAGCTTTTTGAAAATTTTCTCAGCTACAACATTGTTAAATACCACTTTTCGATCAAATGTAAGGAACAAAAATTATTAATGATTCAAGTCACTGATGTCTTACGATTATGCTCAATCAATTGTTCAGCAGGCAACATTGGTGTTTATGGCGCGTAGAATAAAGGACAAATATCATGGCTACTATGTCACACTGCAGAATACAGTGTTGCCCACAGTACAGCTGCTTGATCATGCCATAAGATTATCAATCTCTTAAACAATTAATAACAATTTAATTTGATTTAATTTGGCTTAAAAACGCAAATTTGTAGCTTAGAAAATAGAAATTTTCTAAAAAGCAAAATGGAAAATGGGTAGAAGACAATGAACAAAAAGTTTGGTTTTCCCATAGTAATTTCCATATAAGCTTCGAATAGTTTGTGCCAAGTCAGTTTCTACCAAATGAGTTTAAATTTTGGGAGGCCAATCAGGACCTGATTTGAAACCGTTTGAGCACTGTGGAGCGAAAATTTCAAATTTTGCATCAGTCTAGTATTCACCTCTACACACCCAAATCTGTGCCACGATATTTAGCTGGGAATGTGCCGAAGTAGGCCAAAGTGTACCAATCAAAATGTCAATATCTAATGAGTTTGGCAACCCTGAAGTAATGACTTTTGTAATTCTTGAGAGAGCTGGAATTAGTGCGTAACAGCTTTTGTAAACTATGACTTCTCTCGATTATTTCTCGAAAATCCACGTCGATTATTCTTTCCTGGCCAATCGAACGCAAATTACCGGCATCATCAGATAGGGGAAGCTTTCCTCATCCAAAGTTGGTATTAGTTTGCGTAGGCGAGCCTTGAACCACGAGAAACAGGGCTTCTGAAGTTTTGTTCGCAATAGCTGATGTGCTCGTTTCTGTTGTTGGTCATGATTTGCTCGATTGGTTCCGCTATTTGACAGCTCAATTGGTTCCCGAGAGTCTATCCGCCAGACTATGAATATAGCGACTATACTTAGAAGTACATGACATCGAAGACATCACCCAAGCCTATCGTGTTGCTCCTACCGCCACCCAATTTTACACGTTCATGCCAATCAAGTTCACGATCTTATAGTTGTGAAACCAATATCCAATGCATCAAATATCCCCCCACTCTAAATCAGTCATACTTCGGAAATGGTTTATGATCCAGATAAGCTTCACATCTGCAGTTCTACTGTGGTTGTTGTTGCTCATCTGCACGCCCTTGGCATTGTGGCAAGTTGCTTAGTGCCACCATTGGGGGAGCCGTTGACCTCACCGAAACCCCCTCTATCGCGAATCAAATTTTAGAGATTGATCAAGGCCTTACTGGCCTTACAAGAACTGATCGGTAGACCACCCATCGCATCAGGGCCTCTTGAGACAAACTAGTTCAACAAAAGGATGATGACAAAAATGACATCTGCAAAAAGTCCGGATCGTTGATGATGGGTACAATTATTCACTTAGTGGAGAGGTCACTAAAATGGACATTTTTAAGAGAGTCTACAACTGAATCACCCTTTCCATGAAGTTCTATAGAAGATAAAAATTTTCACAATATTGCTCTAAGTTCAAGTGAATTAAAAAAAAAAATAACACCCCGGGAAGAACGAATGCAACGAAACTTCCTTCCACAGCAGAAACTGAAATCATTCTATTCCCGTCGCAAATAAATTCACCACTCCATCCCCGAATCCGACTAGATATATGACATTTGGAATTGATTGTTCTTTTAATATTCAAACATCTCCCCTCACAGAGATCGACCGGAGCAAATCAAACATGCTCAGCCGCCGCGACAAAAGCAGACTTAAACTGGTTCGCAAAGTTGTCCTCCCCGATCCCGCCGCGTCATTCAGAAGCACAACAAACTCGAAGAATGAGGAGGGACAGGGAATTCCTCCATTCGCTCGATACTGTGTACTACGTTTCAGATTTCAAGCCTCCGCGCGTCCTGATAGCACCGTGGATTGGAATTCAAAAAAACTGGGCGGAAAAACCCCAAGTAGAAAGAAGAATGTTAAAAGCTTACTTACTGTGTCCTAACTGGCCCCATCCGATGGCGGTTAGCTTCCCGGGCGGTAGCGTTTGGTGCTTCCACAGGCAGGCCGGCTTGATGAATCGCCCGAAGGAGACTGTTCGGTTGAGCCGGATCAGCGCGATGTCATTGTACGCTTGAACACCGTTATAGGCCGGGTGATGCACTATTTCGGAAATTTCCACATCCTCATGGTCACTGTCGTAATCGATGCTCAGATCGTACTCGCCTAGCCGGACGACCGTCGGTGGTTCGCTGCAATTGATCGATAGATGCGTCATCGTATTCAAATCCGAAAAATGCTCTCCTCTCGCCTAGATAGGTACTTACTGCATTCGAGAATTTGCACAGTGGGCAGCCGTCAGGACGAATTCCGACCCAATAAGCGTCCCTCCGCAGAACCACTCGACGGATTCGTTTGCCCTGGACCGACCCAAGGCCGCCATGTGAGGATACTGTCCGACGTTGGTCTTCCAGCCTCCGATCAGGTACTCCACCAGCAGGAACCCTTCCGCCCTTCGGCCGACCTGCATCAGCACTACAAGTCCAAAAAATGCACTCAACATCCTGATCGCTGTCTTTTGAATTTGAACCGGGACCTTCACTCACTCATTCGTCTGCGCTGCTTCGCGGTGCAATTGAGAATAACTATGAATTGAGGGATTTGAGCTTAGTCAGTGAACCAGTGTCAGTGCTCGTCGAATTAACAACTTGGAATGATTCATGTTTTGGCGCTGGGGCTGCTGCAGAGCAAAATCGACAAGCGTCTCCTTCTCCCCCAAAAGTGACGACGACCACCACGACAACGACAACGACGACGACGACGGTGAAGACGACTATGACGTTATAAGCTCACCCATCACGTGCGAGTGTGATCGGACGCGATCGAGTAGGGCGTGCATGGGGGCAGGTATCGTTGGTAGGTAGATACCTGTTGAGAGCCACCAATTCTTAAGACGTCGAGCGGCACCAGTGCGAGGGTATAACACGAGGAAGGTGCGTCGCTTGTCGTCACTGAGGCTAGCCCGAATGGGAACTTGGGAGCAGGTGACGATCAATGGGCAAAATTTGATCACCGCACAAGGAATTTCTTAAAGAATTTGCGCGAGCGAGGCGCGAGCGTTTGTTTGCGTGGTGCCGTCGAGTGGTGAATTTGGCTTATTTTCCTAACAAGGTTGTTTTGTTTGATCATTAGCATGTCTCCGGAAGGTGGGTTGTAAATTAGATACCGACACGGACGTGTGCCGAAGGCTGTGTTTCTATCGCAGCACATTGTGTGACTAAGTTTTCGGTGGCTAAATTTATCGATATGATGAAGCTTTATATTTTGGAAACGGCGAGCGAACTGAAATTGATGCGATTCATCCAGTTGTTAAGCATGAATGCCCTAATGCACGGTATATACAATTGAAAAGTTTACTATGAAAATTGCAATGAGTAATTTCCAGTAAATTCCGGAAAAGTTAAGTAATCTGAAATGTGCAACCTATCGAATGTGATTCACAAAGCTCTTATGGCATAATTCATGTTTTTACTGCAGCCGTCACTGTACGGATCTGTTCGTTTCTTTCTAACAATAAACGAAGTTGTTTGGCTGCAGTCTGCGTCTTTAACAAGAGATGGTGAATTGGATCTGAGTCAGCCTCTGGATCCGAAGGTCATTGGTTCAAGACTAACAGTGGGTATTAGATTTTTGTTTGAATCATAGTTTTAAGTTTGGATGCGTCAAAAGGCAAGAAGAAGAAAAGAAAAGGAAACTTTCCGAGTCGGACATCAAAATATTATCATAATGATATTAAATTATGTTGATGAAACCATATTGATGACATGACTAAACATCTGAATTGAAAATTTAATTTGATAATTGAGAAAAAATGCAAGCACATCGGTAGCTAAAAGCTCCGTTTTAGAACGTCCCTAAATTGAGCCTACACGGGTAAAAATTCCTTCCGAAATTCGTGAACCTCAAGTCGCGAATTTCGGAACAAGTCAATTTTTCGTTCACGAGGATGATCGCAGTAGGCCGCGCTTGAAAGCTGACGTGTTTTTGTTTTGCTGCGTGGCTTTTAATTTGTTAATTTGTGGGCTGAAATTTAGTTTCAAGTGTTCATAAAGTTATCATTTAGTGATATATCGTGTTTTGCCTGTGGCTCGATTGACCTTGAATCTAACCTCCAAAATATCAGACCGAGATCGGTCCGGTTGATGAATTAGCCCGGGAACGTGTTGATAATGTGTCCGTCGCGAGTTTTGGTGGTGATTCGGTGGCCGACGTTGCCGTGAATCAGCTAGTTTTCCGCTTGCTAAAGTGCTCGGTTGCTGGTCTCTCGCTGGTGTCGGAGATTGCAAGCAATATGAAAGATGCCTCGCTGGATACGCCCAAGACTGGACGGGTGGCAGTTAGTGACCGCGAACTGTTCATGGGGAAAGCACTAGACGCAAACCTCCTCCCAGATGACCATGGCAATGCAAGAAAATTTGTGTTCGTTAAAGGAAGTTTTACGACAAAGGTGTATCACGAAATGAGATGCAAAGCTTAGAGAAAATCAAAATTAAGGAACCCATGGATTGGAGGATCAAATTAACATGGTAAGACCAGTTCAAATACATTTTACAATTAAAAAAAAAACATAAACTAAATACATGCTTGGTTTGAAAAGAATATTTTCGATCCTGGAAGCGTGTATGTAAAACCAATATCCATTTGGTAACGGTGATGCATACATGCGGGGCTTATTGTAAGTGAAAGTATTCTCGGAATGCGCCTGACTCTTCAGACATTCTGAAATGGGTTGCTGGATCTACAACAGAGCTATCACTTTCTAGCTCCTGGACTAAAGCTGTCTACAATGACCATAAATGCGACATTGTAGAGAGAGTTCTTCCATAATAACACTGCCGTCCAGTGAGGGTTAGAGGGAATACACACAAGTCAATTTTTCGTTTACGAAAGTACACCATAAATAAAAATAATGAAATCGTTAAAATTGTTGCACATATAATAGTCACATCATCTATACCTATTTGATTTGATCTATATTAATTTGAGCAAAAACCCAAAACTTTATAACTTTAAAAAAAAATTACTCAAAAACGGAAAAAAAACACAGTGCTGGTTGTTTTAAATGTTGTGTACAAAATCAAATCAATTTTCAAGGAAAAATATAAAGACATATTGCGCTCTCTGTCTTCAAACCATGAAAACCAAAAAAAAACAATCAATGTTTTTCATTAAAAAAAAATCCTATTTTTAAACACCATTTTTATTAACATAAAAAGTATTTTTAATTTCCTTTCATTTGATACTTTGATCTTTGGAATCAGTTGAGTGGTTCAAAAGTTATGAATTTTTGAAAAGTCATTTTTGAAAAAAAAATCGATTTTTAGACCACTCTAACATGGAAATGGTCCCCCTAATGACAACATTAAATGCGGGTCTAATATTTTGCGATAAGGAACAAAACTACCAATTTTGACGAAATTCTGAGAACCACTATATCGTTTTACCAATTGGTGAAAACTAACGATTTTAAATTGGTTCAATACTTTTTTTTTTCCTTTGGTTTGTTTTTTCCGTCGATCTTGTTTTCCGTGCTGAGCACCAATGCTACCGACGTGCCAGAAAGGCAGCTCCCACACCTGGACCCTACCTTTCGACCCATCAACTCATGAACCGGGGACCAACGGCTTTACTTCCCATCCGAAGGAAGGCGTGATCAGAGATGTTATGCCTCAGAACATCCCGGCGGCGCCGACTGGGATTGAACCCAGGCCTGCTGGGGTGAGAGGGTATCACGCTTACCACTACACCACCGGCGCCGTTGGCTCAATACTTGACTAACCTATTGGTCCCAAGAAAATCGATTAACGTACCCCATTCTAGTCGAAATTCTAGTACTACACTATATTTGTTTTGATTCGCTATGAAAGTTTGACAGATAAAATGAGGAATTCGTGGATTTTTCTATGCGTAGGAATATTTCTGATCGATTGGTGATAAAATTATTGAAATTGGTTCAGGGGCAACTGAGTTATTAACGTTCAAAATCTTTCGTAATTTAGTTACATGTTCCGATTTCGGTTTTCACAAAGTGTACCCCCATATAGAAATCACAGACGTAGTCCTACGTCAACAAAAAACTCTGTGAAACACTACCTACTAAAGGAGCCACCCCAACATTTAAATTGAACCGATATGTGAATATAGAATCTCAACAAGAGTAAGAGTAAGAGTAGCGTAAGCGTGATTACCTCTCACCCCAGCAGGCCTGGGTTCAATCCCGAGCAAAGTAGAATAAGAGCAAAGTAAAATATCAAATTGATAACAAGTTCTATTACCCGGTTATCACTGTTTCATAACTGAATATGTTATCATTATGGTTGAATTAACAGCCAACATAACAAAAATGATAACAAAAAATTGCTCGTTGGATATCACAAAAATAACTTATTTTGTTATCATTGATAACATCTTGATAACAAATTCTGTATGCCATACAAATTTATTCCGTAAATTTCAAATCATGTTATCATTTTGATATCATAGCCTTACGCTGATAACTGAAATATGATTAGAGATTAAGCACTATTTTTTATTGTTTCAATGCGAATAATATTTGAAGCTTTGAACTAACCTTGCATCGTTAATAAATATATAGTGAATTTTTCATGATAACAACAGATAACAAAATTGATCAAGACTGATAACTAAATAAGTTATGCGATAACAACTGAAAACATAATGATATCTGGGATAACAAGACTTGTTATCTACATGATATCGAGTTGTTATTCTACTTTGCTCGGGTAGGTAGGGTCCAGGTGTGGGAGTGGCCTCTCTAGCGTCGCACAGTGGTCCAGATCTGTAAAAACCCGGTCAAAAGTGATTATCTCACGAACGATGCATTTTAGACATGTGGTGTCTTGAGGAAAGTTTCTGGATATGAAAAACCCCTTCTTATGACATTGATAGATCAATGATTAATCCCCCTAGAAGTGAGATCGAAAATTTATTTTTGTCAAAGTTTCATATTTTGGATCGGTGTCTTCGGCAAAGTTTTAGAAAATATCATAACAAGAAACTTTGCTGAGGACACTAGGTGTTCATTTCTTTACCCTATTGAAATATGGAACGTTTTTTATAGAAACCCCCTTAATTTAAGTTTTTGCTCTATAACAATGTTCATTTAACTGCTACTGGTTTGAAATGTTCTACAAAATTTTTCAAAACATCAAAACACACAAAATTTTGAACATTATAGGATACTAAATTGCATAATAGGTCAGTTATTATTGATTTTTCCGAAAAAAATAATAATTTTTGGCCACTTAATTATGATTTACTACCATTCTCCACGAAATCCCACGATGAAATCAATTGCAAAATAATCGTTTAGGTGTGTTTTTATCAAAACATTCGACATTTCATGCAGAAACATGCAGAAACATGAGTTAGAGGTAGCATAATGCGTAATATGCGATGTTTTCTATGGAAAACACCTTAATATTGAGTTTTTCGTACATATAATATTCTTTGAACCTCTACTGCTTCAAAGTAGGGCCACATATTTTCAAAATATTCCACCGTACTGTATTCTCAAATAGAAGTAATTCTTTATTTTTATTGAAAAATATATGTTTTTTGCAGTTTGATGGCGATTTGCTGCCGCAAAACAAAATTAAGCTTTCTTTATTTTTTCAAAGCCTAACTTCTTTTTCAGTATTGCTAATACTTTATTGTTAGCTTGGCACA